GGGACGTGAGACAGAGCCAGCTGAGTTCTGATGCACGTCCATATTCTTGCAGGTCCTACTGTTGAACAGCAGGGAGAAATGGCCCGATCTGGAGGGAGGATGTTGGCCACATTGGAACCTGAGCAGGTAAAAAATTTGACCTAGGGTTTTGTTTTCAAAGCAAGTCATGCTTATGACTTAGTACAGCAGTCAAGCCTGCTGACCCTACCTTACTATAGTATCCAAAGTTATCTGAATTACAGATCTCATTCAGGTTTGCTCTGCCTTTTTTCTTTTTCTTAATCTTACTTTCCCGTAGGTAGATTTTTTTTTTCATAACCTGAGTGTTTTGATCAAAGGCATCATGAATATGATGAAACCAAGAAAGCTACCTATTATTCCTGCCATGTAGCAGGCATGGAAGTGTAGGAAAAGTAACTCTCCCCATCCATTGTCTCCCCTGCCTCACCTGTGAAATGGGAGCCTGAGAGCCATAGTTGATGCCCTGCCTAATTGACAACAGATTATCATGAATTAGACTCTAAGCAGCAGATGCAGTGAGGCTTGGCATGGTACGAAAGGCACAGGAAACTCCTGCTTTCTAAGCTGGCATAGGTAAGGATGGGCTTGAGAGTGGTGGAGATGTAAGATGGGCCTGAGAAGGGATAAGAATTTAAATTTTACTGTAAATTGAGAAAGAAAGCAAAGTAGGAGCCTAGCTTTAATCCTTCAGTAATTACCATGTCCTTTGCTACATTTCCCAGTCTGGGAGGGAGAAAGACCTAGAGTCTCTTCAGGCATCTCTCCAGGCTTGGTTTTAGTTTAGTTTTTTTTTCTCCCCTCTTTGATCAACTTCATCAAGTAGTTGACATCAAGTAGTTGTCAATCCTAAATTTGTGAAGATGTGTATATGACACTCATTCCCAGCTCTTCCCTCTATCTTATGGATAAATTGTATAATCTGTCTTGCTCTTACTGCTGGGCCATGGTTTACTAGTTACACTGATTGGGAAGGGTAAAAGATTAAAGGATCAGAAAGAAGAAACCGGGCTATTGGTAAACAAGGGGGAACAGTGGTGGGATATGAACTCCAGGAGGTAAGAGGAGTTTACAGTGGTGACTTTGGCTTTTGGGGCAAGGCCTGGCACTTTTGGGCCTTCTGGTGTGCAATCTTAGTGGATTAATATAGCTGATTGGTTCTTTTTCAATGGTTTGCCTTTCTTCTAGAGAGCAGAAATCATCCATCATCTGGCAGACCTGTTAACAGATCAGCGAGATGAGATCCTGTTAGCCAATAAAAAGGACTTGGAGGAGGCACAAGGTAAAGAGTCCCTTGTGGAGAGTTTCTGTTTTATTTATCTTTGTTGTTGTTCTTCATTTTACCAGTAATTTACCTAAAGGCAAGCTTGTTACAGAAGAAATTACGTTACACATCATCAGTACCCACGGTGCATGGTGAATACTAGGTAACCTTTTTCGAGCTCCTCCTGTGCTAATATCCTTCCTGAATACTTTAGTAAACCCATGCTCTCCCCAACCCCCCCCCCCCCCGGTGAGCAGGGGCTGTGGTAGCAGGTTCAGGACCAGGAAAGGAAATAGTTTCATTGCTTTAGCATTTCAGCTAACCTGCTAGCAGTTCTTGAGGCTGTTCTATTAATAGGCCTCATGTAAAGGGCTTTACCAACAGGATTGCATTTCTATATCACAACACAGCATGTCAGAGGGAGCTACTGTTTATTATTCCTGTTTTACAAAGGGGCAGCTGAAACTGATATGTTGCCTCTTGCCCCACACCATATGGTCAGAGATGGACCTGAGATTCGAGCATAGATACACATTAAAGGGCTTATAAGTATAGTTTGTGCAGCCTATGATGAGTGGTGGGTTCATTTTAGTTCATGAAGTCTAGTTTGAAGTCTTCACAGAGTGAGCACTAGGTGTTCTGGTAGAGTAGGGAGTGGGCAGATGGATGAACTTGGACCACAGAGGACTTAGAGCCTTCTTTGATTCTTCTTCTGTCTTTTCCACATTCAAGTAATAGAGCTAATTTTCACTGTGCCTTGAATACATACGCCTCCTTAGCCTAAATGTAAGGCTCATCAGCTATTCTTTGCCAGTCCTAGGGCTTGAACTCAGGGCCTGGACACTGTCTTTGAGCTTTTTTGCTCAAGACTAATGCTCTACCACTTGAGCCACAGCTCCACTTCTAGCTGTTTGGTGGTTAATTGGAGGTAAGAGTCTCACAGACTTTCCTGCCTGGGCTGGCTTTGAACTCTGATCCTTAGAACTCAGCCTCCTGAGTGGGATTATAGGCATGAGCCACCAGTGATTTATTGTGTGTGTGTGTGTGTATGTGTGTGTGCGTGCGTGCATGCGTGTGTGCATGCGTGCATGTGTGCGCACACGCGCACTAGTTCTGGGGCTTGAATTCAGGGTCACAGTACTGTCCCTGAGTTTTTGTGCTCAAGACTAGAGTTCTATAGCACTCCACTTCCAGCTTTTTGGGTTATTGGAGATAGTCTCACAGACTTTTCTGCCTGGGCTGACTTTAAACCACAGTTCTCAGATCTCAGCCTCCTGTGTAGCTACGAATACAGGCAAGAGCTGCCAGCACCTGGCTGACTATATATCTATATATGTACACACACACACACATATGTATGTATATATATTAAACTCAGGGACTTGTGCTTGCTAGGCAAGTATTCTACCACTTGAGGCACAACTCCCAGTCCTGTTTCCATTCTTTTTTTTTT